GGATACTACAGGAAGTTTGTGAAGGGATGCAGTACCATTGCCTGGCCTTTGACTGAGTAGCTGAAGGACAATTTTTGCTGGGGAGAGGCAGCCACCCAGGAGTTCGAGAGGTTAAAGGAAGCCATGACGACTGTTCCTGTTCTATCCCTACCAGACTTTGGTCAAGCATTTGTGGTAGAGACCGACGCGTCAGGATATGGGTTGGGAGCAGTGTTGATGCAGAACCACAAGCCTGTAGCATACTTCAGTCAAGTGCTATCAACCAGGGAAAGACTGAAATCAGTGTACGAGAGAGAGCTGATGGCGATTGTCTTGGCCATTCAGAAGTGGCGCCCCTACCTTTTGGGGCGACATTTCATTGTCCGTACTGATCAGAGAAGTTTAAAGTATCTACTGGGGCAAAGAATGGTGACTGAGGAGCATTAGAGGTGGCTCTCCAAACTGTTGGGCTACGACTTCGAGATCCAGTACAAGCCGGGTTTGGAAAATAAAACAGCTGACGCCCTATCCAGATGTGTTGGGGAGCTCCAGGAGCTAACTCTGTCAGTACCATTGATGGTTGATTGGGGGGCCATCAAGGAAGAAAGCAAGCTAGATGAAGAATTGTGGAAGATCAGGGAGGACCTACATAAAGACAAGATTAGCCATCCGGGCCACTGCATTGAGGGGGAGAGATTATTGTATCAAGGGAGGTTTGTGATGCCACGAACGTCCGTACATATCCCCCACTTATTGCAGGAGTTCCATGGCAGTGCAGTTGGAGGTCATTCAGGAGTCCAGAAGACATATAGGAGGCTAGCAGCGGAGCTCTATTGGAGGGGCATGCATAAAGATGTGGAAGAGCTGGTGGCAAGGTGTGAGGTGTGCCAAAGAAATAAATATATGGCGATGGCACCAGGAGGGCTACTCCAACCCTTGGAACTTCCAAACAAAGTTTGGGAGGAAGTGTCCATGGACTTCATTGACGGCCTACCTCGCTCAGAGGGATTCACAATCATTTTGGTAGTGGTAGACCGCCTTAGTAAGTATGCCCATTTCGTCCTCCTGCGGCACCCGTACACCGCGGTCTCAGTGGCAGCAGCATTTATTAGATAAGTGGTGCGATTACACGGATTCACTGCTTCCATTATGTCAGATAGAGACAAGGTTTTCCTCAGTCAATTCTGGAAGGAACTCTTTCGAATGCAGGGCACTATTCTCAAGAGGAGTACCGCCTACCATCCACAGACATACGGACAGACCGAGGTGGTAAATCGGAGCTTGGAAACCTATTTAAGGTGTTTTGCTTCAGAAACACCACGTAAGTGGGCCAAATGGTTACCTTGGGCAGAGTACTGGTATAATACTTCGTATCACTCAGCATCCCAAATGACCCCTTTCAAGGTACTTTATGGAAGAGACCCCCCACAGTTAGTGCATTATGGAAAGGGAAACACACCAATCTTTTCAGTTGAGCAATACTTAGAAGAAAGAGATCAGGTGCTGGAGGAGTTAAAGAAGCATTTAGAGTTGTTCTTCCTCTCGGATTGAAGAACAAAGTGTATCTTTGCTGTTTTCTTTGGTTTCTAGTGAAATACAAGCATAATCTTGTGTTTTTCTTCCCGTTTCCCTATTTCCTGCTGTATTTTTGCTGAATTTCTGCTGTTTTACTGCTGGTGACAGCAGTTTGCTGCTGTAATTTTACTGGTTTGGGTTAGGAATACTTGAGAAATCAAGTATTAACTATCAGAAGGGGACTGTAAATATTTAAAATGCCTCCCAAATTTTTATAAAATATAAGCATTTAAGCTAACTTCAATGTTAACGCGATGATGGCCGTGTTGGTAGAAAATCTTAATCGGAGGGGACCACAAACATCTAAAATGCCTCCCAAATTCCAATAAAATACAAGCATTTAAGATAAGTTCAACGTCACACCGATGATGGTCGTGTTGGAATCTCAACCGAATGGGCCACAAACATTAAAAATACCCAAAAATTCCCATGAAATACATTTAATAATATAAATATTTAGAATTGAAATAAAATACTTAAACACTTGAAGCAAACTACTCATCAACCCTCTACAACAGTTTGTTGATGTGAATAAATATGAAAATCAATTCAACTCACAAAGAGCAAATGTCTGGTCGAGAATATCACTAGGATTCATTCTCAATCCATCTTTTGCCAATAAGGACATGACACGTGTCCTCTAACCAGTGATTTCATTGTCAAATGGCACCATAGGTAAGCAATTATGATTGTCCTTTGACCTGGTGATTTTGCCGCCAAATAGCACCATTAAATTACGGTAATGGTCAAAACCCATATGTTCCCCAAAGGCGCTAAATTATTGAGTAATGAATCAATGAGATATGACCGATAAGGCACGAAACCCTCTATTAGCTAAGGTGGATTCGAATTTATCCATTTAGATAAATATTCACCTCAAATCTACGAGGTACCCTTAGATAAAGCAACTCATGGATGCCGACAAAAATCCTTCTGTCAAGTTGGGTCGACGACCTCCTCTTACTTAGTAGACCAGGGACTATGATGGCCGGGATGACATAACCATGGGATCTTGATCGGGTCTATCATCACTCCCCCCACCATTCGCTTTAAATGAGAGGTGGTAAATTTCAAATTTTAAATACCTAAACATATTGCTACAATATGCTGTATACTACGTATCTGTGTGAATACTATGTACATGTTCGACGACTAGCTTTAATCGAAAGTTCTCCCTCATTTTTGGGAGGGGTAATTAACTATAGAGGCTTGCGCCTATAGGAAACCTGAACTCATATCATAAAGTCCTCACAAAATGAGGACGAAATCTCTAGGTAATATCTTATTCAAAACCCAATTTGCCTTCTAAAAATTCGGCTCAGAACTCAATCGTTAAAACTCTCCTTGACGACCTCGAAAAAAAAAAAGAGAGAAAGTGGGCCGTGGAGAGGCTGGGGCATGAATTTTTGGAGCCCATAATAGTATTATTAAAATTATTATTTTGTTTATTATTATTTATATTTTCATTTTTATTTTTTAATTTAGCCTCATTCTTGTTATTAATCATCTAAGTATAAGAAAAAGTTTTCTTCATTTCATTGCAAACCTTTGTTCTGAATGAAACAAAATAATAATCAAATAGAGTCAGCATGGTAAGCAACTTGCCCCACCATCTGCCATGAGGACATACTTCTTTTCAATTATCTTCTCCTTCTCAAGTTTTGCATTAGATTTTTCTTTTTTATTTTTATTTAGATCAGTTCTTAAAACTACTATTAAAGGAGTCATTCCAACATCATTCTGTGATGCCTCTAGCACAACATTCAAGATCAAGGCGTGGGCTCTTCCTAGCAACTATTGAGCAAGTTGAAAAGATTTATTAATGATTTTCTTAGAGGTTTAGGATAAAAAAAATGTCCCAACCATCTTTAAGCTAAGAAGAATAAGAGTTAGAGGAATGACCTAAAATGACCTTATCAAATCTTTGGCTCAAATTCATAAGGTATTCCATCGTGCGATCACAGTTCCTTGTTTGAATTTCTTTCAAGCCAACCTTTGAATCTAAAGGAGTCTTCAATTGTGTTTGTGTGGCCTAACATTCAATGGTTAGGGCAAAAATTAGAGTGATCCATTTGATTTGCCTCTTTCGACTTCTTGGCCTCCAGTAATGCGAAGTTTGCTTTCTCAAGGAAATTTTTGAGAATTTTCCTAACTGCCTCGCTTTTGAAAGAATAAACTTGATTTATTTTATTTACAAATCACGGATTTAGGGGACCATTTCTTTTATTATTATTATTATTATTATTATTATTATTATTATTTAATTTGAAATAAAAAACTTATTTTATATCCAAAATAAGTGTTATTTTTTATTGAATATTGCATAAAGTGTTGAGGGAAATTGGCAATAGTAGCGATTGATTGCTGGTGGCGACGGTGGAGTCCAACATAATTTTCACTTTTAAAAAATTAAAAACACCTAACATTTGTTTTAAGTGTTTTAAAAAGCAACTTAATTTCTGGCAGTTTCCCAATTTTTTTGGCGGCCTACGATATTGTTCGATATCGAAGTTTTTGGCATCAAGGCCGCCGGAAACCTGTATCAACTTTAAAAAAAAATTGATGTTGTTTTGCTAGCTCTTATGCTAACAAGCCCAAGAATCAAAATTAAATCCATGAGCTAAAATCTTATAAATAAAAAATACCATATTTCTAACAACCTTAAGGATGATCTCTTGCGGAGTGAAAGGAAGAAGAGCAAGGAAGGAGAGGAGATCACCTGCGGTTGGGGAGATGAAGATCAAGGACGGCGTCAGCTAGGGCGGATGGTCGGCTGGAGCTGCAACAATGAGACAGACTATCGGCATTCTCTGGGACGGAAAGAGTTGAAGCAGACGCATTGAAATGAAGGAGTAGGTCAAGGGAAATAGGGCTCATACCGTCAGAATTTTCGGCGGCTATAGCCGCCAAAAAAATTCACTTAAAACCAACGGTCATTCCGCCGATAATGATGTCGAACTTATCAAATACCGGCATAATTTCCATCGGTTCAATCCGCCGACTTAACCGCCGGAATTTTCGGCGGTCCCAAAGTCGCCGGAAATTCCGCCGATATTTTATAAATTTCCTATAGTGTCAAATCTTTATTGGTGTGAAATATTTTAGTGCAATCATAATGCAAACATTTGATATTTCATTGGCACTTTACTAGTTTTAGTTCAACATTTGATATCAATATATATATACACATATATATATATATATGAACTCTATATGCTTGCATAGTTGCATGTGCAAAAAAATGTATTTGTATCACTAAGTATTTTTGCAAATGCAAACATATAGGGATAATAATTTCTAGATTCCCTATAGAATGTCTATTAGTTATTAGTTAGTCTACTGCGCACATCCATCAAACAGTCATTTATACAGGTAGAAAGTGATGTAATGCGTGTGCTTTGGAGCATATGTATCAATTCTAGGTGCCATCATTGAGCAGTACTTACAGTTCTAATTGAACCAATCGTCTGTTCTACCACCACCGCTGCTTCAGCATAGGCTGTTTGTCCCTTTGAAGCCATCTTGGATACAATGACAGACACGATTGCAACAGCAACTGCAGCAAGCGGAATTATGGACAACATCACAAGGGCTAGAAGCCATCCTCGTGTAAATGCAACTATGAATCCACCAATAAATGCTGATATTAGCTGAATGAACTTACCAACCTGTAACATGCAGAAGATGGGAAAAAAATCATCAAAAAAGCAGCTTTCTGCTTCAATTTTAGAAATTTATTAACTTTGCACTGTACCTTCTCTCCCATAGCATTTTGCATAAGAAAACTGTCCCCAGACATCCTTCCAACAACATCACCTGTTACAGTCTCCTTGTCAAAGAAGGCAATTTCTTGCCTTAGTAGAGTTTTCAGATACAAGTTTCTTATTCTTGCAACCTGCCTCTCGCTTGTAACCATCCAGCAAGCCACCTCTGATTAAGAAGAGAAGATTGATACACAACCATTCAAAGTAAAATCATCTCATGTCAAATAAATTAGTCCCCTATCCTAATTAAATATATGAATGATAAACTTACGGAGGAAGGACGCCACTCCTGCAGCAACTGCCAAATAGACAAAATCAAGGGACACCTACTACATAACTAAAGTTTAGTGTCTTAAGTGACATGTTAAAACAAAAAGTTGGACTAATCCATTTCAGATTTCATCTTACCAAATGTAGCATTTTGTAGGTTTTTTTTATTATTTTAGATTCCTGATCAAAATTTAGATCCCATGTAGTGGAATAAAAATTTGATGTTGTTGTTGTTGATGATTAAAATTTGATCATTATAGATCTAAAATTTATTATATCATAAATATAATATATAAATAATAGATATGAACCTAAATAGATATAAGTAGTAAAACAAAAAAATAAATAGCATATGTGATAACAAGACAACTAAGAGCTTGCTTTTATCTCTTCCTTCTTCTATAAACAAAATAATAATAATAATATATTGCATTCATCTAAAAGTAAATATAATGGATTTGAGGTATAATTTGACAAAAAATTTGGTTAGAATATCCTCTCTAAATTTTTTTCTTCTCCGTATTCAAATAGTATAGAAAGGTAACAATAAAAAAAGTCTCAACAACATCAGATTATCGAATGAAGAATTGTGTAAGTCGTTTTTACTGAATAAGAGATACATGCAAATCAATAAAGTATCAAAAAAGCATACCTTTGAAATTCTATGAACCACATCATGAATATCTTTAGCTCCTCCAAAAGACTGGATGGCGTTCCCAAAGAGAATAGTCATAAGAGGCATAGCAGCCCCATTTGCCAGAGCTCCTAATGACCCCAGAATCATCAAAAAGAGATCAGCCGAATCAGCAAAAGAGAACAACTTGTAGATGGGAACAATATTTGTGTTCTCTTCCTTCTTATCACAGTACTTTTTACTCTTGATCCTATCCCCTTTCTTGCAACCCTCGCTTACACCATGAGGGAACTGCTCACTCTCTTCAATTGCCATCTCCACTTCTATCTCTATAAAAATCGACACCCAGTCAAACCCTAGTTTTCTATACCAACCTCAAAAATTTTCTAAGAGACAGATATTCTCCGCCATTCTTTACAAAACCAGAGAAGATTACAATAGATTTTCAGCTTTAATTAGGAGATCAAAATCTTCCAAGATGATCAAAAGAACAAAACCTACTTTGGCATATAAAAGAAAAAAGCTGAGAAAACAAATTAAAACCAATAAGTTCATCAAAAGGCATTCATTTCAAACAAAAACTAACAGGCTGTGAACTGAAGTGACAAAGAACAGACATAGAAAACAGTCTTGAGGAAAAATGGGAAGCTTCACCTTGAAATCCTGAGAAAGAGTCTGCTCCTGCCTCCTTACTTCACGAGAGCTGGCGTCTCTGAACTTTATACATACAAATAATTGATATAGTCGTTTGCTCGTTTCCAAAATTTGAAGCTTCCATTCTGCCCTTTGTCGCAAGCAAGTTCGTAACTTTGAGCCTTCAAACGGTCAAAAATATTCAATTGGAAGTCAATTTTTTTGAAGGATTCAATGAGTGCGCTGCTAGCATGCTACCGCACTGGCATTGAACATATGTGAATGTGTCTATTTTGGCAATTTGTGGAATATAATGTTCTTTACTAAAAAAAATATTTTCTTAAATAGGGGCCGGCAGGCTGTGGTTTCTTCCCGCAGCCTCCGCGGCGAAATTTTTCAGACAGGGAAGAAAATGTATATATGTAATAACAATTATAGTTATTTTGAGATTAAAAATATATTTTTAAAAAAAAATAAATCAAAACAATCCTAAGACTATTTATGTATGATTATTTTAGTCCCAAAATATCACCTTGTCCAAATTTAGCCTTGAATTATATAAAATTGATCAAAATAGTCTCTCATGTTAAGATATAAATTGATCCAAAATAATATCTCATATTATAATTGTGATATAAAATTGATCCTAATTTAATCCTTCAATATTATAAAATTAGTCTCAATTTAGTTACAAAGGGACAATTTTGGATCAACGTTGAATAATCAAGGGATTAAATTGAAGCAACGTTATACTTTGAGATTAAAATTGCCAAATAAGAATAATCAAAGACAATTTTCAAATTTAACATGATTTTATAATTTAAATAAGTACATTTTATTTATTTTTATTTTTTTAGTTGTTTGTTTTTAGTTTAATTTATTTTGACCCCTAGTCAACTCTGGGCCAAGCTGGGTCTAATAAAGTGCATATTACTGATCAACATGTCATATTAGAGTCCATGGATGTGATTAGAGGCTTTGGGGAGAGTCCCAAGGTCAAATTCCACTGGATGGTAAGTCAGTGGCATAGGCCGTAAATATTTTAAAATTTTACTGCATTTGAAAATCAATTCAATTTCTAGGACTAGGAGTCTCAGATTGAGTTCAAATTTGGTGTGTTGATCTTAGAGACATGTATAAACAATATGCAATTGATAGACCCTAAATCAGATATCATTTTGATTGGGTTTCAAGGTGGCAGAAAAATTATCCAGAAAGAATTTCAGGACCTGAGTCCTTAACCCTGGAATTTGGTTTGGAGTCTTAAATTTGAATTAGGTTTTGGACTTGAATAGTTGAGTTTGAAGTATCGACATTAATGACAATCAAATAAATGACTGAGATTGATTGTATATGACTTGAAGATTGATTGCAAGTTGATTGAAAATATAATTGCATATTGAATTGAAAAGTGGAATTGAATTTGTTCAGGATTAGATTGGATTTTGACTGGGACCTATATGATTGGCAAGTGGACACCAGACAATCATTGTTTACCCCTAAAAAAACTTAGGTGGGTCATAGTAAACTCATACAGAAATGAGGTCAACAACATTGCAACATGTAGAGTTTATTATGTGAACATGCAAGGACTCGTGCAAATGCGTGTAAACATGTGCATATATGATATACATATCAGCTATACATGCATGACAGTTGTATAACTACATCATACAAATTGCATGTAAATTCATATGCCCGCATGGGCCCAAGGGAGTGTTTTATGGGTACACACGTGATGTATATGGATGATGTGCAGGTCAAATGATAAATTTAAGTTTGAGTTTGATCCTTATATCTGGATACATAGGAGTCAACACGATTCAAACAATCAAGTGAATACATGGTCACAGCGTCGACCAAGATATTTATGTTAACACATTCATATTAGGCTTTTAAGGCCTGCAATGATAAAAATTCATTAACAAAGACATAAACCATACAACGAGCTCGATCCTTCTATATGAGTATATAAGAGTCGACACAGCTCAAACTATCAAATAAATATACAGTCACGATGTCAATCGAGATATTTATTTTAATATGTTCATAATAAGCCTTGAAGACCTATAACCACAAAAATTTATCAATAAAAGGCAAAAAGTCGATAATGAACTAGATCATCTGTCAACAAATTGATAAAGCCGACAAGATTAAATTGAAAAAAAATGAAAATTACTCATAAGAACCTTGATGATGGCCGTGTTGATAGAAAATTTCAACCGGAGGTGATCACCAATATTTAACACGCCACCCTAATGCCTATGAAAATTCAAAATTCCTAAGATACCAAAAACCTAAAAATATTTAAAATTAAAATAAATTATCAAACACTTAAAGCAAAATTCATCCATTCTTTATAATAATTATCGAGATGGACAAATTCAAAAATTACCTCAGCTCATAAAGAGCCAATGTCTGATTGAGAATATCAATATAATTCATTCTCAAATAGTCTCTTGCCAATAAGGATGTGGCACGTGTCCTATAACTGGTGGTTTCTTTCCGAAATGGAAATACATTGTGGGTTTCATCGCTAAATGGCACTACAGGTAAATGGTTATGATCGAGACCCTTTGAACCGAGTGGTTTTGACACGAAATGGCTCCACTAAATTACGGTCAAGGATACTGCCCGTATGCTCCACAATGGCGTTAAATATTTGATATATGAATCAATAGGATATAATCGATAGGGCATAAAGCCCATTATTAGGTAAAGTGGATTCAAATTTATCCCCTTAGACAAATATTCCCCCCATGTCTACAAGGTTCTCTAACCCATGACTGTGGATAAGGATCCTTTGTCTAGCTGGGTTGACTACCTCCTCTGACAAGTATACTAAGGACTATGATGACCTAGGATGACGGAATTATGGGATCTTGATCGGATTTATCATTACCCCCGCCCCAATGCGCACACATACCTTCTGCTTTAAGTAAAAGATGATAAAATTTCTAATTTTAATTATTAAAATTTCAAATACCAAATCATGCTGCAACTATACATCAGATATTATGTACCTCTGCATATCTGTTTGACGACTACTCTTAATCAAAAGTTTTCTCTCATTATCGGGAAGGGTATTTACTATAGGGGCTTGCGCCTATAGGAAACTTGAACTCATATCATAAAATCCTTGCAAAATAAGGGTGAAACATCTGGGTAATGTCTAATTCAAAATTCAATCTGTCTTTTGAAAATTTACCTCGGAACTTAAGCGTTAAAACTCTCCATGATGACCTAAATAAAAAGAAAAGGATCTGCGGAGAGGCCGGAGCACGAATTTTTGGAGCCCACACTAAGCAAGTGGTTTGCTCATTCTATGTTTGTCAATGTTTTTAGGAGAAAGGTAAAGCTCCTATAAACACTACATTGCAAGGTGAGGAAGAAGCAAGACAGAGCAAGTAACTGGTTACTGTTTCATTGATGCTAATGCAATGGGCTACAAGGTTTATAAAGGCAAAAGTGTTGAAAATAACATCACCGGTTGAGATGAACCATTGCGATCCAACGGTGATCAATTACTGTCATAACTGTGCTCTGCACATGTAGAGAGTAGTGGGCACATGAAGTGAGCAGAGGTAGTTATAAGATGGCTGGCTTATCACCTCCCCGCAAGCTAACATTTGCTTCAGAAATGTGTAGCTTGTCTCGCAAGAACTGAAATATAGGAATGGATAAGGACTTGGTAAACAAGTCAGCCAACTGATCCATTGTATGAATGTATGAGACAGTAATGAGTTTGTTCTTAATGCATTCACGTACAAAATGAAAATCTATTTCAATGTGCTTGGTTCGAGCTCGAAAAATGGGGTTGTTGGCAAGAGCTATCGAAGAGATGTTATCACAAAGCAAGATAGTTGGTCCAGAACAGGGAATGCAAAATTCCTGCAAAAGACGACGCAGCCAAATAATGTCGATAGTAGCCGTGGCAAGTGCACGGTATTCGGCTTCGGTGGAGGATCGAGCGACCGTCTTCTGTTTCTTGACTTGCCAGGATATCAGATTAGAACCCAGAAAAGCACAGTAGCCGGCAGTAGATTTTCGATCAGAGGGATCACCAGCCCAATCAGAGTTCGAATAAGCATGTAGTTTAAGCTTAGTGGAGATAATTGGAATGCCAAAGGATAGAGTACCTTTAAGATACCGAAGAAGCCGTTTGAGAAGCTTAAGATCAGACTGTTGAGGACAATGCATATGTTGGCATAATCTATTAACAGTGAACGTAATATCCGGATGGGTAACTGTTAAATATTGAAGAGAGCCAATCAAATGGCGAAATTGATCCGAAGCTGCAGGAGATAGATCAAGAGAAGTGGTATCAGTCTCCGTAGACAGTTTCGTAGGAATTGGAGACGAAATTGGCTTGCAATCGGACATGCCAGCACGTTGAAGAATCTGAGCAGCATAAGCAGCTTGGGACAAGTGAAGGCCATGTGAAGTATGAGAAACGTGCATTCCTAGAAAATGTGAAATTCGGCCCAGATTTTTCATCTGAAATTTACTGTATAGTGTTGTTAATAAGCATGTAATAGTTGCATTGTCATTGCCTATATGCAATATGTCATCGACATATACTAGTATGTAAAGAAGAACGGACTGTTTGTTATAGATCAACAAAGAAGGATCGGCTGTAATGTGGTGGAAGCTGAACTGCAGTAAGTAAGTGGAGAAGGTTTCAAACCATTGGCGGGGAGATTGTTTTAAGCCATATAGAGACTTGTGGAGAAGACACACATAATCAGGATGCACGGAGTCTTTGAAACCAGAAGGCTGACTCATATAAATTGTATCATTAAGTGCTCCATGTAAAAATGCATTAGACACATCAAGTTGTAAAATTTGCCATTGAAAGGAGACCACAACAGTAAGAAAAATGCGAATAATGGGTAATTTGGCCACTGGACTGAAAGTATGAAAGTAATCTAGGCCAAATTGTTGTCGACAACCAAGTGCTACAAGACGAGCTTTATACCGTGCAACCGAACCATCAGGATTGAACTTAGTTCGGTATATCCATTTACAACCCAAGACGTTGTGAGAGGAATCATTA